GAAGTTGTCTAAATTTGTTATGATTGATAATTTTGATTTCATTATATGCTTGGTTGTGAAAGTGATAATGAATTGTTTACGTGTATGATGGTGTAAAATACATGCTTCATACTCTATTATGATATGTATTGTCTCTGAGTGAGCATTTATATGCGTGGTGGTTTTTCATGAGAAAGCTCATTGAAAATTTAATTCAAAAAAATTGGATGATGGGTTGTGCATTCTTTTTGAAATGTATTGGAAGTTTTCTGCTTGTAACAGTTGATTGGAAATTTTTGGGAAGTCCGTATTACAGGGGAAACTCTGTCAAAATTTTTGGAAAAATGTGAATTTCTAAGAAAAACCACTTAGGGACTCATACATTACTCATCTGAAAATGGTGATTTTTGAAATCTCGGGAATAAGAAATTATGGACTCTGAGAATACGATAGGGAGGCCCTGAGGGAGGACTTGAGGATAGGAAGGGTAGTGGTTGGAGGCCCCAAAAGACCCAGGCTCGCTACCTATTGTCGGGGATCCCACTGTACAAACTCTCTTGTACCTGACTGTGCTCTTACCGTATATCAATGGTCAGTGAGCTACTGGGTTTATATTTGAGCATGGGTCTCAACAATCCCGTGGGTGGATTTTCCATGCCTAGTAGTGTCAACTCCTGGCTACCCCAGTACTGATTTGAGAAATGATTCGGGCCCGCATGCATAAACATTTTAGAAAACATATTAGGATCATGCATCATTATCATCAATCATTTGAAATTTGATTGACTTGTGAATGTTTATGATGTTGATTTTAAAATGATGTATGAGTTGTTGATCACCCTCTTGTTAGAAATGTAGGCTGAGATCAAGAGGGGGGGTGAATTGATCTTTCAAAGATTTTTACAAATTACAGATTATTTATTTCAAAGATTAAGATTTCAGACCAGTTCTTGAATCACACACATCAAGCAATCAAAAATAAATGCAGTGACAGTATTAAAGGAGAGAAAGGTTTAGAAAGATACAACCAAGGTTTATACTGGTTCACCCAATCCCAGGGCTACGTCCAGTCTCCAGCCAAATTCCAGCTGGGTTCCACTAGATTGAACGTTTTACAGATTACAACTTTAATCTCACACTCAATCTACCACAAGAACCACAATTCCAGTTCCTGCACCTAAACCTTTACCAAGAACCAAATTCCAGTTCTTGATCAACCCTGCAGCCAAATTCCAGCTACAGAAACCAGTGCCCACAATTCCAGGCACCCACACTACAATAAAGAAAGTAAAGAAACAAAGAGAAGAAACTTAGAATGCTCAAACCAGATTTATGCAGCTCTACAGTATGTGTTTCTTCTCCAAAAGAATGCAATTTTGCCTCAAGAAAGAACTTCTATGAACTTCACAAAAACTAGCGCGATTCTCTCTTGAAAGTAGCACTTATGCTTGCTTGATTGATTGCTAAAAGATGTGTTTTAAAAAAGTTCAAGCAACTCTGTTTATATTGAAGATTTTCAAAACTATTGGTTTATTTAATCTGTTAAAATAATCTTTTAATCTGTTAAAAGTCTTGTTTCAATCTGTTAAAACTTCTTTTAATCTGTTAAAATGTTCTTGATTATTTTCCAGATTTGTTTTAACTGATACGACACTGTTTATATCAATTAAAACTCTTTGTAAAAAATCTTCTAAACTATTTTAATCGATTAAAACACTTTGAAAAAGATTCACTTAGTTATTTTAATCGATTGAAACGCATTTTAATCAATTAAAATTATTCTGGTCGATAAAAAACTCGTTCTAATCGATCATATGCTGGATTACATCGATTAACAAATACTCCAAGTGGTTTTAATCGATTGTTTCGAAGTTATATCAATTAAAATACTACCAGAACACTTCCCTGAACATTTTAAGTGATTTTAATCGATTTTTTCGAAACTATATCAGTTAAAATACTGACAGAAGGTTTTCAAAACTCCTTCTAATGAAAACAATCGATTATTTCGAAAACATATCAATTAAAAACCTATTACAAAAGTGTTAAGAACATTTTAGTTGATAAAGCTTGTATACTATTAGTTAAAATAGTTAATTAAAAACCTTTTAACAAAATACTTTGTTTTTAACTGTTTAGACGCTTTTTAGAGGCATTTGCAAAATCTTTTAAATGAAGAAACTTCATGTAGCAGAGAGATAAAAATGATTATACCTAAGCAGAGATACAGACTCACAAATCCCACTACTCTTTTATCTAAGTGACCTTTGACTGCCACAAAGTAGCCTTTGACTTCATTTTTTACTTCATCAAATCAACAAGATCTTTGCCAAAGTAGTTCAATAAGATTTTCATCACTTTCACCTCTTGTCTTTCTGTTTTCTTTATTTCCTTTGTACTTGCGGTACTCGTTGGACCTGATCGGTCATTGTTTGAAGAGAGGGGAGATGGCACAGATTCAACACCCGATGAATATGACACTCATACTCATTAGTTGGGAGCCACAATGATGGCAACATGTATTGGCATAAACATATCTAAACTTTTATAGATAGTCTTTTGTAATATATAGACCTACATGGTACTGGGTAGTAGTCACTCTTTTGTGTAGTTAGCTGCTCTGTAGGAAGTATCCCCAATGTTGCCCCTAATATTTTGAAGGACTGTACTAGTATTTTATCTATATGTAATTATGAATGTTTACTTTTAGTACTTTTTAAAATGATGAAATGCAGGAATGGGTTATTGAAAATTTATATATTAATATTATGTACGAGGGAAAGATTATTATTGGTTTTAGAAAAAAAATCTGCTAAAAATTATTAATTCTTCTGATTGAGGGTTTATAAGGTAAGGTGTTACAGACGGCGGTCTCGCCCTTAGCTAACGGCGAGACGGCGGCCTCGACTCTTTGGGTGGAATTTCTTATTTTCCGTGTACAAAAAGTCTTCATATTCTACTATGGAGCCTATTGATCAATCCTAGGGACCTTTAAGGCCTTACCCATCTTCGAAAGGAAGTCTTCTACTCTTTATTTTGAGATTGGGCAAGATTTAGGGTCTACAGCTGCCCCCCCTTCACCTGACTAGCCGACTGTTGGCTCTGTTGAACATTCAAGGACTTGATGTTGCAAATAATGATCATGAAGAATGTTGATTTTGATGATGATCCAAGAGCTTAAAGACTTAGAGTATTGAAGATTGAAGATTGATGATTTCTGTATTGTAATAACTCTGTTTTAGTTTGATTGAGTCTGTAATTATAGAGTCTAAGATAGCCGGTACATAGTCTATAACTTAGAAGCTTCAAAATGCTCAAATTTATCATGCGAGCTCGGCTTTAATCGATTATATAGGAAATAATCGATTAAAACGAGTGAGAAAACCATTTTCAGGCATATACTCATCTGTTTTAATCGATTAAAACATCAAAATAATCGATTAAAAGGTCAAATAATCGATTATTTCACCAAATAATCGATTAAACCGAAGAGGATTGGGTTACTGCGTATTTGGCTCTGTTTTAATCGATTAAAACTCCATTTAATCGATTATTTCGATGCTGTTTTTGTTTTTAAATTTCAAATTAACCCTATTTTCGAAAACCCAATTACCAAGAACCCTAGTTTTGAAATCCCCAATTCCTTAACCCTAATTTCCCTACTTAAACTCGCTTTGGCACTCGAGAAAATAAGAACAACTCTTTCCATACAAAAGTTAAGTGCTTGTGAGTGCCAGAGAACTGTTTGTTGCAAGGAAAGGGGGCTTTTGGAAACCTGGTGTGAGGCTAGAAGCGATAAGAATCACTAAGTGGAGTTCTTAGTGGATTGTGTGTTGTGTCGTCTCTAGGGAAAGTCTGTTCTTCATCTCTTGTGGATTTCAAGAGAGGTGTTGTCTTTACTTTATCTCTTTGATTTGTAATCTGTTTATAACAATTTGTTCTTAGTGACGAGCGTTAATCCTCTTTTGAGTGATTAGCAACTGGACGTAGGGTCTTTTGATCCGAACCAGTATAAACCTCATTGTGTAATCTTCTCTACTCTTCTCTATTTACATTTACGCAGTTTTTAATCGGTAAAATTTGGGGAAAATTTTGAAAACCTAATTTTTATTAAGAAACCAATTCACCCCCCTCTTGGTTTTTGTCAGACCACGCGAACATTCATCTGCGCGATTCTAACAAGTGGTATCGAGCTTGCTTTGATAGTCATTCAAACTTTTCGAAAATGGCCGGACAAAATCAAACTTTTGCCGAAGGTGCGTCTATCAACGAGACCCCCACTTTTTGCGGGTCAAAATTATCCTTTTTGGAAAGTACGTATGCAAATATTTTTAGAGTCCGTTGATAGAGGTGTTTGGGACGCAATTTTAAACGGTCCATTTGTTCCTAAAATTACGAGAACGGTGTTGACGTTCTTAAACCTTTTGATAGATGGACTGCAGACGAAAGTCGAAAAGTACAATTTGATGTTAGGGCTAGAAACATTATTTCATCTGCTCTAACCCTTGATGAGTTCTACAGAATTTCTATTTGTAAAAGTGCACGGAAATGTGGGAAATGCTTAGAGTAACCCACGAAGGAACTGACGACGTCAAAAGAGCACGTAAAAATTCTCTAATTCAAGAGTACGAAATGTTCCGGATGCAACCAGGTGAAACGATATTTGACGTACAAAAACGTTTCACTCATATCGTGAACCATCTCACTGGACTAGGTAAAATTTTTGACGTTGATGAATTAAATGTTAAAATTTTGAAATCTCTGGATAGGAAATGGCAACCAAAGGTGACGGCCATCTCAGAGTCACAAAATCTTGCCACTATGTCTATGGCGGCGTTGTTTGGAAAGCTTAGGGAGCATGAACTTGACCTTGGAAGACTAAATGAGGAAGAGGGTCAATATCAAAAGAAGAACCTTGCTTTCAAAACCGAGATTTCAAAAAGCAATAATAAGAAAGAAGAAGAAGAAGACTCGAAATTGATGAAGAAGAGATGAGTCTTTTTATAAAGAAGTTCACCAAGATGATGAAAGCAAAAGGAAGACATCCTTTCAAAGGTAAGGGAAAGGTAAAAGAAAATTCTTCCGTTAATATAAAATGCTTTGGTTGTGGTGAAGCGGGGCATATGAAGACCGAATGCCCAAACAAGAAAAATGATGAACACAAGGGCAAAAAGCAATTCAAGAAGAAAGCATATATTGCTTGGGATGACAGTGATTCAAATTCAGAATCAAGCGACTCGAAATTGAAGCAAACATTTGCTTGATGGCAAATAACAACAATTCTTCGGATTTTGAGGTTAGTGATTCCGATTCATCCTCTAGTGAAGAAAATGACCATGATGAATTGCAAAATGCTTATAATGAGTTATTTACTGCATTTATGGATATGAAAAAGGAATATAAAGTTGTAAAGAAGAATCTAAGAAAATCGGAAAAGGAAAATGAGTCCTTAAAATTGAAAATTGCATGTTTAGAAGAAAAGGAGGTAGCCAATACGAAAATAGTATGCTTAGATGAAGATAAGGACTTAGCATGTGCAAAATGTAAAGAGCATGAATATGATATAGATATTCTTAATCATTTGCTTGACAAAGCCGAAAAAGAAATTGATGATCTTAAGAAGAATGAAATGGTTTTTGCTCAAAATAATGTAAATCATAGAGTTCCTTTGAAAAAGAGTAAATCTAAAAAGAAAAGAATATGGGTAGAAAAAGGAACTAGAGCATGTCATGTTAATAATGTATCTTATTCTAAAGCTACTCCAAATGCATGCTTCTATTGTATGAAACAAGGTCACACTTCAAATAAGTGTAAAATTAAACATTTTGGTATTCCAAAAGGTAAATATATTTGGGTTCCAATAGTTAAATAAATCTGTTTGTCTCTTTTATTTATTCAAAGAAAATGGATCATTTTGTATGTTTTAAACAAAATGCTTAGGTAAAATCATTTTATCTTTTCTACTGCATAAAGATTCTTCTCTTAAAGATTTTTGCGAGAAGCCTCTAAAATTGTTTTAAACAGACTCAAAATAAAGTATTTTTACAAAATCTTTCTTAAAACATGTTTTTAATCGATGCAGTTTTGAAAGAACCAAATAAAATCACTTAGAGTGGTCAAAGAAGTGTTTTTACAGCATTTTAATCGATACAACTGGTTTTTAATCGATTAAAACCATTTAGAACTCATTTTGACCGATCAGATTGTTATTATGAGCTGATTGAAAGCGTTTAAATCTATTAAAAACACGTTTCAATTGATTAAAATTACTTAAAGGGTCGGGATGATCGATCAGAATCAAATTATGACCGATCAGAAGCAAATGTGATCGATCAGATTTTAATTATGAGCTGATCAGAAATCTTTCAATCGATTAAAAACACGTTTCAATCGATTAAAATCACTTAAAGGTTCAGGATGATCGATCAGATTTTTATTATGGCCGATTGATCAGGATGACCGATCAGATTTTTATTATGACCGATCAGAACTCTTTTAATCGGTTAAAAACTTCGTTTCAATTGATTAAAACAACTTAAAAACTTTTTCTACATTGCGTTTTAATCGATTAAAAGATGTTTTAACAGATTAAAACTGCACTTTAACAGATTAAAAGAAACTTTTAACGATTAATTAAACCTGCAGTTTTTGAAAATCTTCTATTGAAAACAGTTTGGCTTGAACTTTCTAAACTCACATTGAATATAAGTTTTCACACATCCTTAAGCAATCAATTGAGCAAGCTGCGGTGCAAACACTTTGGAGATCAAAGATGTGTTACTTGTTGATATATTATTGGATCAACTGATAGTTTGTTATGTGTAGAATTTGCTAAGATAATGCAGGGAGAGTTTGAAATGTCTATGATGGGAGAATTGACATTCTTCCTTGGACTACAAATCAAGCAACTTAAAGATGGCACTTTCATCTCTCAAACTAAATACTGCAAGGAAATTCTCAAAAAGTTTGGTATGGACACCTCTAAGGAAGCTAACACACCCATGGGAACTTCATGCTATTTAGACAAGGATGAATCAGGTTTGGAAGTAAATCAAACTATGTATAGAGGTATGATAGGATCACTATTATACTTAGCTGCTAGTAGACCTGATATTATGCATTCCGTTTGTGTGTGTGCTAGATTTCGAGGCTTGTCCTAAAGAATCTCATTTAATTGCGAGTAAAACATATTTTAAAATACTTAAAAGGAACTACTTGGATTTGGCTTGTGGTATCCGATCTGATGCTTGTATTAGTTTATTAGGATATTCCGATGTCGATTATGGTGGATGTAAAATTGATAGGAAAAGCACTAGTGGGACATGTCATTTGTTAGGTTCATCCTTAATATCATGGCATTCTAAGAAACAAGCATGTGTTGCTTTATCTACCACTTGAAGTTTGAATTTATTGCAATTTGGTAGTTGTTGTGCTCAAATTACTGTGGATGAAACAACAATTAGAGGATTATAGCATATATTTAAATGACATTCCATTAATGTGTGATAATACGAGTGCAATCAACTTAACAAAAAATCCGAGTAATGCACTCTAGGACTAAACATATTGAGATTAGACATCACTTTTTAAGAGATCATATCAGCAAAGGAAGCTGTAAGATAGAGTATGTAGACACTAAACGTCAATTAGCAGATATATTTACTAAGCCTCTACCCAAGGATAGATTCTATGATCTTAGAAGAGACTTAGGGATACTAGAAATAGCTTAAATTCTGCTTAATTTGATCGTTTTTGGATGATTGTTATGATTAAATTCGTGATGCAGGATATTCATAGGTTATAATGTGCCAAAACCTTAAAAACTTGATATAGCCTTGGGAATAATCGATTCCTGGAAGTGATAATCGATTATTTTCCCTTAAAAACGCCCAAAGCAGGGTATTCTCCTCCGGAATAATCGATTATTTCTCGGAAATAATCGATTAAAGCTATCGAGATATTGAAATAATCGATTATCTTGAAATATAATCGATTAAATGCGACTCGATTTTGCCTCTTAGCCGTTGCCAACGGATATTTTGCCATGAAATCCTTTCTATATGACCAGTTGGAAGTGTTTTCTCTATAAATAGAGACATCTAGGTCAATTATACTCACTTCTAACTCTTGTAATCAAGTTTTCTTGAAATCTATACTCTCTTTGCTTCATTATTCCCTCACTTGTCTCCAAAATCTCTTCAAGTTTATCTACTCTTTCAAATGGCCTCATCCTCTCGCCCTAAGATTCCTACAAGAAGAAGATCTGCACCTTCTTCTCATTCCCAGTCCTAATTCAGTAGAAGGATGGATCTCGATGCGAGATGGTCAACAAGAATTTCTAACCTCTCTGGAAAGAAAAAGCTATTATTTCTCCCAAATTTCTTATAGGTGAGCAATTCATTCGTAGGGGTTTCAATTTTCCTAATCTTCTTGAAATTCAAGGAATTCTCCCGTTTATCCAAATGCAAGGTACATACTATCCCGACTTAGTTAGGGTATTCTATTCTAGATTCAAGTTTAGGGATCAAATTGCTACATCCCGTGTAAAAGGGGTTACCATAATTCTAGATGATGATATTTGGGAAAATGTTGCTCACTTCCCCATTAGAGAAGATGCTATTAACGTTTATGGTGAGCTAGATGACTTTGACAGGTTCTTAGCTTATCGATCTTTTCTGCGGAATCCTTCTCCGGAGGTTGGACGTATTCTTCATGCTTGGACCTTTAAAGAAGGAAGAACGCATGCTTCTACATTTACTTGTATGGATCTTATGTCCCCAGGCTACGAATCATGCCCAATGCTCTTCCATTGATCTTCGAATTATTCATGCCATAATGAATAATGATCCTTTAGATTGGGGTGTTCTTGTCAAAATGACCATGCTTAAAGCAAAACGTCATCACACCTTCAAAATTCCATATGCACTTCTTGTATCCCGTATTCTTGAATATAAAGGAGTGAATGTTGAAGGTGAGCAAGCGAGTTAGAACAAACAACTTAAACCGCATGTTGGACAGACACATTGACTCAACTTCAAATGGTGCGTGTCAATGACATCTATGTTCACAAAGATGACGTTCAAAATCAAAGTGATGCAAATGAAGACTTCGATGAAGATATGCCTCCAGTCGATAATTTTCCCTCTAACCAAATCCAAAGTGTTGGAACATCCTCGTCTCATCAAGAAACAAGACAATCCATGGAAGATATGCTTTCCGACATGAATCAAAGAATGCAATCTTTCTTCAATCTTTCAGAGTACGCCATGATGAAATTATTACGTCGCATATCCGATGTAGATGATAGAGTGGGTAGATTAGAAAATAGATTTGATACTCACTTTAATGATGAGGACAGTTGAAGAATTTTAAATTCTGTTATGTATTTTCTTTTGTTATTGTCTTGCTATTGTAATGGATAAATGATTATGAAATAAAATTTGATGTTTCTTTTATGCTATGATTGAGGGGGAGCTTTCTCTAACTTATGCATATTTTGAGGGGGAGCTCTTATGATTGATGTTACAGAGTTCTTTTTGATTATAATCAAAATAGGGGAGAAAAATTTAAAGCCTATGATTCAATATTAAATGTTATACTGGTATGTTTAATGTGTTTGTTAGTATGACAGATGAAAGCAGGTTATTACAAGGGCTTTAAAAAGATAATTTTGATCATCATCAAAAAGGGGAGATTGTTGAACATTCAAGGACTTGATGTTGCAAATAATGATCATGAAGAATGTTGATTTTGATGATGATCCAAGAGCTTAAAGACTTAGAGTATTGAAGATTGAAGATTGATGATTTTACGTATTGTAATAACTCTGTTTTAGTTTGATTGAGTCTGTAATTATAGAGTCTAAGATAGCCGGTACATAGTCTATAACTTAGAAGCTTCAAAATGCTCAAATTTATCATGCAGGCTCGGCTTTAATCGATTATATAAGGAAATAATCGATTAAAACAGTGAGAAAACCATTTTCAGCATATACTCACTGTTTTAATCGATTAAAACATCAAAATAATCGATTAAAAGGTCAAATAATCGATTATTTCACCAAATAATCGATTAAACCAGAGAGGATTGGGTTCTGCGTATTTGGCTCTGTTTTAATCGATTAAAACTCCATTTAATCGATTATTTCAGTCTGTTTTTGTTTTTAAATTTCAAATTAACCCTATTTTCGAAAACCCAATTACCAAGAACCCTAGTTTCGAAATCCCCAATTCCTTAACCCTAATTTCCCTACTTAAACTCTGCT